AAGTCCCTCGGCCCTTAAAGGGGAAAGGTTGCCTACCCATGATCTACACTGTAGAAATAATGAAGTCTGACACCTCTTTAACTGCCTTGTGTCCATCCTACAGAATCCTAGGATGTGTCGTTTTTGGGAGGCACCAATGCTCTTTGGCAGAGAAGGTTAAGGCCTTGTAAAATGACAAATCCCAGAGTAGGATTTTAGTAAGAAAACACTGAAAAGGGTTTGTTCTTTTTGGCAATGTGCCCAACACTAACTTAATAAAGTTACTTGTTATTACAACTCCCAGAGTCTTCTTCAACCAACATGGCCAGTGGCCTGCCATGTCACTTTTCCAAGCTCTGGCACAGAATGACTTATCTGTGGAACACAGCTTCTTTAGGGTAATGCGTGTAAAACCAAGTGATGAAACATCCTGAATGTACTGTATTCACATGATAAACCAGATAGGGAACATGAATCGGTGAAAGACAAAATTAGGGATTAGGGCTGATGTAACAATTGGCAACAAATTGTCAATTAATTTACTGTTTTTCTATTTTTATTCCTAACAAACTATAAGAAAACCATGTAGGTACCAAATATAATAGGAAAAAATAACAAAACAAAACAAAAAAAAACACTTAAAGAACATACAGAAAGTAACTACAAATAAAATAATGAGTGTATAATTGTTTGTTACTTTCATGCTATCTTTTAGTTTGTGCAATTTCGGTTCATGATATTATTTTTAGTTATTCTCAGTATGTTATCATTTTTTGTTCCTATACGGTGTTCCCCCCTAATTTGTTTGGCATTGTTCTCCTTTTGAGACTCACCATTCAGTGGCGTTCTTGCACCAGGTGTCACCCAGAGAGTGTGGGGCTTCTGGGGAGGAGGGCTTCTGTGCGCAGTGTGCGCTCCTTCACCCATTGCTGCCCCATCCATTTCCTGATGAGGAAAAGGACAGGATGGCACAAGTGGGTGGCATGTGTATGGAGGAGCATGAGGACAGCACGGGCTGGTGGGAGATGTGTGAGGAGCATGAGGACGGCATGGGTGAGTGGGGAAGCATGGGGATGGCATGGGCAGGTGGGAGCACATGTGGGGAGATTGTAGAGACGGCATGGGAAGATGGGACAGCAGGGGGGAAGGCCTGACCGGGTGTCACCCCCCTTCTGCGGTGTCATCCGGTGCAGATCGTACCAGATCTGCCCTGGAGGAGCCCTGGTGGCGCGGTGGTTAAACTCCAGTTCTGCAGCCGCTCACTCACAAACCGCAAGGTTGCGAGTTCGATACCGGCCAGGGCTCAGGCTCGGCTCAGCCTTGCATCCTTCTGAGGTAGCCAAAATGAGTACCCAGCCTGTGGGGGCAATTAGCTTACAGTTGTAAACCATTTAGAGCAGGGGTAGGCAACCTT